GCAGATGATACAAATTTGAGAATAGGTCTGCTTTCTAATTTTCTCTCATATTTAAGTGTCATTTGTTTATGGCTGCTTGTTATTACTTGCAATTTTGTAATTTGGGGGACTAGCGGCGTTGATGAGCTAAGGGCGGGGCAGAGCAGAGCGGCCGCCGTCGGTGGCTTAGTATTGTCTGGTATTGTTGTACAGGGACGGGGCGGACGGGGCCTGCTCCCTCCCTGCCCTGACCTGCCTGCCGCAGTATTGTTGGGTAGAGGAAGGGGCCTGAAGCGCGACACTCGGACGGACAGTCACTCACTGATTCCCCTAGCGCCAAATAAATTGTTTTCTGGTCTCCGCTTGGTTCTCTGTCCTTATCGAGAGTAAAAGCAAGCTGACACCTTAAAGTTACTTATATATTCTTTATGTTTAGTCAAAAGGTTTTTAAGGTATCATCTGCTAAAAACATTTTGTGTACAGTGGGTTCTATTCCTTTTCGGAATACTTGTTTTCTTTTCGGTCATCAGCGGGAGCCTCAAGTTGGCTTGATTTCTGGACAAACGCGAATGAAAGAGTAGGCGGGCGTAGAAATTAAGAACAACTTCTCTTCTACCAGGCGCGGATTAAGGTCTGACTGACTATAACCAACGGAGGGGGCGTCAGGGGCAACCCAAGCGCGCGTTCCGGCGCCAAACTAATTTCGCTGGCAATCCTCTCAGAATTGTCGCACAGACTTTGGCTTGTGCTCATTCGATTGCTTACATTATGCATTTTCATCGCCTTGCTTGGACCCCCCTCGAAAATCAATAAGAAATGCCTCGAACCCTGGGCGGTAGGCAGGCGGCGCGGAAGCCGGGCGGGGACAGATTCGGTTGCCCGCGCGCCTATGGGACCAGCCCGGAGTGCCGCCACCGTCCCTTAATCCACCTTGTGTCATGCCTATATGCAGTGAATAAGGTGTTATGGCCGCTGTCCAGACTGCCACTAGTCCATTATCATCACGGGTTAGACACTGAATTATGAACTGTTAAACTCACCTGTCACAGCAGATCCCTTGACAAGCTGATAAGGTCCGTTGGGGTCTGGCTAGCTACCTAAACTGCAGACAACACAATAACAGTTCCGCATCTTCCCGCAGCAAAACGCTCGGTAAGGCGCCTCAAGGAGCGACATTTAATTCAGACTTGAAGCCTTGAAGCCTAGAAACAGTAAATGCAGACAGAACCAGCACAGCATCGCAGCCGGAACTGCAAAACATTCCATAGAGAAGCATTTTAAAAGTTCTGTAATATCGTTGCGTGGTTACTCCCCCCAGCACCCTCGTGGTGTACACAGAAACAAGACACCACTAAAATGGTCCCGCATAGATCCCACATGGGCCACATAAAAAGAAATAATGAAATTCGGAAAGAAATAATTTTGAATGTATAAGATAATTTTCACTCTCTCAATAATCGACAATAAACGCGCTAATTTTGTTTCGTTTTTATTTTATTTGAAATTTTTAAAGTCCTAGATTTTGTTTTGCCGTGTGCTAGATTTCTCATGGCAGGAACAGCGTCCACGAATCAGCGGTGATGGTTGCGGAGTGATCGTTGCCGGCTGCTGCTAACCGTCGGCGTGGCCACAATTCGTCTTTGAACGGTGGTGCTGCTGCGATTGGTTGTCCCGCGGGGTCCTCACGCCGCACAGCCGCCACCGGCCGTGCCGCGCACGGCCACCACCCCGGGCGGCCGCAGGCCCCGCTGGCCACGGCCAGCTCCAGGAGGAAGGCGGCGGCGGCGAGGCCGAGCCCGACGCCCAGCAGGAGGAGCGCGGGGCTCAGCTGGACGAGGTCCTCGCGCTGCGGGCCGCCCGGCGCCGTGTCGCTGGCCTTCATCAGCAGCACGGAGTCGCCCGTCCGCCGCCCGATGACGTGCTGCGTGATGCCCGTCTCCGTCATGCGCAGGATCACCTCGCTCGCCTTGTGCAGGTAGAAGGAGCCGACGGGCAGCGCGATGAAGGCCTCGGCGAAGCTGACCATGCAGTTGTCGACGGGCACGTGGAAGGGCCGGCCCGCCTCGTCGCGGCCCAGCTTCCGCTCGAGGAAGAACCGCTCGAAGGCGCTGCACATGTAGGCCTCGTCCAGGCTCAGCTTCATGGTCGTGATGCCCGAGAAGTTGTAGGTCCTGTAGCGCTTCAGCAGCATGGCGCCGCCCGGGGCCTGGGACAGGGCCGCCATCGCCTGCAACGTGTGACGACTTGGGTGACCTTTAGGACTCTAGGGTGACCGGCCGGCATACGGAGCATCCAGAAAGTACGTCCGTCACTATTCGCCGTTTCAACCTGCTAAGTACCTACAGCCGAAGCAAGTTCTTCTAGCGCCTGGTAGGTAGGCAACATCTTGGCTGCAGTGCATACGTGTTCTGCGGGTCGGCCTACCCCGAGTCTCGCAGGCGCGTCGAGCACCCGGAAAATGTGTCCAATTAAATCTGAGAAAAGCGGACGCACCTTCTGGACGATACCATGCACGCATTACCAACCACTTGGGGCCCGTTGATGATAACGTCGGAGTGGGCGAGGACCTCCAAGTCGCGGAGCGAGTCGACGATCTGCGGGGCGGTGCGCAGGCTGTGCTGCACGGCCTGGTAGGCCGTCGACATGACCAGCGAGAAGAACAGCCACATCACAAACAGTGAGCGCTCTCGGTTGCTAGCAGCCTGCGCAGACGAGGGCGATGATCACGTGATGATGCTCAATAAGTTTTCCGACTGCCGCCGAGTGTCTTACCCTGGTGGGCTTGTAGCCCGGGGTGCTGGCCTGCACCGAGCCGAGCACGCCGGCCAGGAGGAGGAAGCCGACGTCGTGGCGCGCTCGCACCCCGCGCCGCCGGTCCCGCTCGTCCAGGATGGGCGTGAGCGCAAGGCGCATGGTGATGAACGTGGCGATCACGAGCGCCCACACGGGCGCGGAGAACTCGGCGAGCAGCGCGCGCCACAGGGGCGTCTGGCGCCAGCGCCGGGGCACGCACACGGTGTAGCAGCCCGAGCGGCCCGTGGTGGGCACCTCGGACCGGTGCTCCGGGTCGGGCAGCGTCCGCGTCAGGTACAGGTCGAAGTTCGACCTGGGGCAGACACGGCGGTGAGAGGAGGTCGCCGCGGTCCGCGAGCACCGCGTCGTGCCGCGTGTCCCACCTCACAGGGGCCTCCGGCTTGCCCGTGTCGGGCATGGGCGACAGGTTGAAGTGCGCGTGCATGCCGTACTCCAGCGCCCGGAGCAGGGGCGTGAACTGGCCGCGGAACTCCCACACGTCACCCTCGGCGGACGGGATCTTGAGCCGCTTGAGGTCGGCGAACGGCGGGTACAGGCGGACCGCGACCTTGAGCGGGCAGTTCTGGAAGTGCCACAGCTCGCCGGAGGGGAACAGCGTCGTGTTGCCGACGAACCCTTCCCCGCGGCGCCACGCGCCCACCTTCAGCGGACGGAGCTGCTTGAGGCACGGCGTCAGCGCCGAGTACGGCTGCAGGCGGTAGAAGAGCAGGGGGGCGCCGCCGGGAACCGAGGCCATAGCCGAGGCCGCAGCCCCCGCCAACACGGGGACGTCCATGGACACGGTGCGCAGGCGGCCGACCTTGAGGGCCTCCGCCAACACGTTTGCTATGCCCGGTGCCGGGTCGGCGCGGTCGTACGGCCAGGCCACGATGTACCTGCATCGTCATGGACGACGTTGTCATAGTCCTGGTATGTGTTACCGCCCTGGTAAAGAGTACTTGCATCCCCAAAGGCATGGCAGAGTCCCGCCCCTCCCCCTGCATGGGCCTAGGCCGTTGGTTTGCCTGGGGTTGTTGGACTTGCAGACGAGGGCCAGCTGGGCGGCCGTCTGGTTGGAGGGCGCGACGAGCAGCACCAGGTCCCTCCCTGACATGTCCCGCCCGCACGCCTCGGTGGCGAGGCGGGGCTCGTCCGGCCACGACGCGTTCCACAGCGTGTGCGGCCGGAGGAGGATCGGGTCCGGCCCCGGCCAGCGACCTTCCTACGCCAAACATCCTCGGAAAGTAACAAAAGTCGGAGGCACGTGTAACACACATCGTCTCGAAGCACGGCGCCCTATGGCTTCTAGGGAATGTATAGACAACCTGGAACCCTCTGTCTGAACAAAGCGTTAGTGGTGTGCGTGGCGGCATGACGTTTGCGTTCGTTACCTGAAGGCAGACCTCGGGGTAAGCGCATAAAACGTGCACGGTTCGGAAGTAACCGGCGTGGCGGATGACGTCTTCCAGGACCTCGTGCCACTGCAGTTGGTCCACCGAGGGCCTGAGGTCGACGGGGGTGGGAAGCGAGGTGCCCTTCGCTCAAAAATAATCAGTGTACATCCTCCAAAAATATCAGATAAGATACAAAAATCAATCTTTAAAAAATTAGATAAAATA